TTATATATAATACAATAGATAATATAATAGATAATATATAATAATATTTTTTTTTGCCACCAAAAATGTTATCAGGTCTTATAATTTAATACATACGATACAATATATATTTAATTTAATTTAATATATATTATATATAATTTAATATATTATGTATAATATATTATATATAATACAATATATAATGTAATAGATAATATATAATAATATTTTTTTTTGCCACCAAAAATGTTACCGGGTCTTATAATTTAATACATACGATACAATTTATATTTAATTTTATTTAATATATATTATATATAATTTAATATATTATGTATATTATATATAATACAATAGATAATATAATAGATAATATATAATAATGTAATATAATTTTTCGCCCCCAAAAAAGTTACCGGGTCTTATAATTTAATATATACTATATAATATATATTTAATTTAATTTAATATACATAATATATAATTTAGTATGTTTAATTTAATATATGCTCCCAAGTTCCTGGCAAGGCCCAGAGGAAAGTGATCACACACACACACACACCCCTCAAGCATCCTCTGCCTGCAAATAGTGCAGCACAACGCTTGGTTGCAAAGCAAGACATCCAGAAAGAATGCAAAGAATCCAGGGAAGTTCAAACGTCAGCACGCAACTCTCCAGGAATTCAGCATTTATTCCTCACAAACGCCCCTCCCGACGGCATCTCCTTAAGTCTCAGTCCCCAGGTGTGCCTTGTGGAGAGGGGTGGGGCGCTTTCCTCCCTAGTAGTCGGGTCAGCCTGCACTGTTCCCACCTTCTCTCTACTCTCCATGCTCAGGGATCAGGAGGGGGCGGTCCTTGCACATTGCCTGAGCTCCGTCTCTCCTTATGTCCATTGCTTGCCCTCCCTCAGTCGTCCTGCCCCCTTCCTCCCTGCCTACAAGCCATCCCAATCCTAAAAGGCCCCTGGCCTAACTGGGCCCGCTCCTCCCCATTTCCGTCTCAAGCCAACGAAGCCATCCCTTCGATCTCTGTCAGATGGTAACAACAGTTGTTAACGGAACCTTGGCTTCCCCATTGACTTTGTTTGTGGCCAAATGGGCTCATGTGAACCCCGCGATGCAGGCAACCGTCGTAAGAACCCGCCAGTTGCCAAGCCTCTGAATTTTGATCATGTGACTGCGCGGAATGCCGCGATTCAATGTAGAGAAAAGTAAGTCCTACACGTAGGCAAGCCAACATCTTTGCTCCTAGTTGGCTGTAGCAATCTTCAATTTACGGCCATATTTAGCAAGCTTTTGAAGCTATTTTCCACGAAGTCGTGGAAAAAATGACCTATGGATGGTTCTTCTACTTATGACCGTCACTGTACATGTCACTGTGATTCAGGTGTGGCACCTGGAATGTGTTTCTGGTGGTTGCAGAGTTCTTAACTCATACAATCCCCAGGTGTGTCTTTTGCAACCTGCCGACTTCCGACACGCACAGGGAAAAGCCAGATTCACTTAAGAACCGTGTGATTCACTTAAAGACCGCAGCAAAAAAAAAAAACAGTCTTAACATTTGCTTTCTCCTTTCTAGCGGGTGGCAACCTTTGAAAAGCTCAAATAGATTTATTTTAACTTTCAGGTTCAATGGAGGCACGAGGAACCACACTTTACTGCAGGACGACAAGTTCCCTTTCGAAGTGTTGTGTGACGTGGTTGGAGATGCATCCTTGCAGGAGAATTTCCCTGGGAAGGTGAAGAATTTCGAGGTGAGAGGGTTGATTTCTTGGGAATCCTAATCCCTCTTGTGCAGGAAACCATTTGGGCCTAAACATAAGCCTCAAAAAACCCACATGAGCGTATCCCTCTGTGATGACCCAAAGGAGCGTGGCACAAAGGCAACACAGTCAGATAATCAGTAGGAGTCCCTTTATTAGCTCCAACTTTGCCCCCAATGTCCAGGTTACCTTCTAAGCTGGAGAAAAACTCTCCCAGGAACAGCCTTTGGCTGCAGAGAATCAAGTCCAAAACGTGGTCAACAAAAACTGTAACTATAAGTCCAATCAAGGCAAAATGAGGTAATTAGTCCAGCAGGGCAAGAGAAGGAATTCCAGATGTGAAGGCACAGCAGTAATTCGAACCAGTTGGGAGGATGCCAGGAACCCAGATAAGCAAAGTCAACATGGGATAAACTCACGTTTGTTCCCAGCAGCTGCCTCTCTCAGCTTGCGTCTCTTTTAAACTCTCTTCCCAGCTATGATTAATGAAGGGAATCAGGGCCGTTTCCTCCCTTGTAAGCCACGCAACCCACATTGCTCCCTTCTCCGTTCCTCCCTGCCTGACCAAGGATGAAGAGAGGATGGGCCTTGGTCTTCCTCTGAACTTCCTCTCCCTTGTTCTACCTCTCCCCTGCTTTGCCCAGGCAGACTTTGCCCTTCCTCATTTTCCTCTACAGCCAACGGAGCCACACTCCTACTCCCTGTCAGTTGTCCGTCTTCCTCCTTGGCTCCACACTCTGACAGGGGCATGACAGCCTCCATAAAGAGAAGCGACGGCTCTAAACTTACACAATTCTTGAATTTCAGCCTTAGGTCTGGCAGTAAGACAAGCCCAAACTATATGAGTTCAAGGTTTCAATTTTGGAACTGCTGTTTCCAACCAGAAGGTGATTGTAATACGAGGTAAACCTGGCTAAGGAAGCTGTACAGGTGGGCTTTGACTAACAGCAATCTGTTTATCGACCATCTAAAGTTGGTCCGCACTGAGAAAAAGGGACTTATGACCGCTTTTCACATTTAAAACAATTGCAACCTTCCTATGGTCACTTGATCAAAATTCAGCCGCTTGGCCACTGACCCGTATTTATGACAGTTCCAGTGGTCATATGATCTCCTTTGGCAACCTTCTGACAAGCCCAAATCCATGGGGAAGCCAGATTCACTTAAGAACCATGTGGCTAATTTAACAACCGCAACGATTCGCTTAACAACTGTGGCAAGAAAGCTCATAAAACAGGGCAAAACTATTTCATAAATGTCTCACTTAGCAGCAGTCATTTTGAGTTCAATTGCGGTCATAACATATAACAGATAATCAGAGTTGGAAGGGACCTTATAGATCATCTAGTCCAACCCCCCGCCCAAGTGGGAGACCTTAAACCATTTCTGACAAATGGCAGTCCAATCTCTTCTTGAAAGCCTCCAGTGATGAAGCTCCCACCATTTCTGAAGGCAACTTCTGTTCCATGGGTTGATTATTCTCACTGTCAGAAAGTTTCTCCTTTATTTCTAGATTGAATCTCTCCTAGTTCAGTTTCCATCCATTCTTCCTTGTCTGGCCTTCAGGTGCCTTGGAAAATAGCTTGACCCCTGCCTCTCTGTGGCAGCCCAGAGAGAGGATTAGGTTACGTCGAGGATTACAATTCTTGAATTTAGCCCTAGCTGTAGGACAAGCCCAAACGATATGAGTTAAACGTTCCAATGCTATTTTCAACAACAGGCTGATTGTAATAAAAAGCCCAACTGATCTGGCTAAGGAAGCTGTATTTCCAGGAATAATTTTCTCCCAAAGCTAGCAATCTTGACATTTGGCTTGATATTTGACTCCTTCAGCCCAATTCATCCATAAACAATAGAAACAAGAGGGGTTTTTCTTTAAATCCTCTTCTTTTGTTGTCATTAAAAAAAAAAAAATCCACCTTCTACATTTCCTGTTGTAGCAAAATCTCTGCCTCGAGTCTGCACCTGTAATTTGCACCTGCGAAAGGATGGATGATCTAAACACTGTTTCAGATGATGATGGCTTGCCCAGAAGCCTGCTAGACATCTCCACCATCCACGATGTTTTGGCATCTTCTGCAACTCAGGTATGATCTGGTGAAATTTCTTAGCCGAGAGGTCACAGAGAACACCTCTGCTAAAATACAGCTAGTCCTCAAATTGCAACCGTTGTGTAGTGACTCAAACTCAATGTAAACCGCTTCAAACTCGATTGCAGAAATGCACCATTGTACCTACTGTCCCTGTCCTATTGTCTCCATTTATTCGTACCTATTCCCTGTCTTCTTACTCATGTTTATACTTATACCTATTATCTTGTAAGAGATTGACAAATAAATAAATGAAATAAATAAATAAAATTCAAAGTTATGACCAACCTGAAAAGGGGGACACGTGGCCCAGATCTGAAATTTAAATGCTTCCCCCCCCCCGGACAGTTATGGTTCACTTAATGACTGCCATGTTTACTTAACGACCCCCCACAAAAAAATGTAAAATCAGGTTTTGTCATGTGGACCGATCAAGTTTTTTTTAACCAATATGACTTAGGACCATAATCGTAGGCATCCATCATGGTTGTAACTCGAGAATGGACCGTAATACATTTTGTGTATGTAGTTCACAACTCGCAGCAAATACAGTTATATCTCCACCAGAATTAATTTTGTCCTGCATTGCCTTTCTTTATATTGACCCATAAAGCCACATCCATCAAGTTTCTTTTGAGCAGAGATCGCTTGGATTTAAGGTTCTGTTTCAAGCAATATTCACCGTTCTTGGCCAGAAAATCCAGGTACAGAATTTGTGGTTATTTAGAGATGTGTCCTTGCCATCAATTGTGGAAAATATACAGATTAACAGAGTTGGAAGGGATCTTGTAGGTCATCTAGTCCAACCCTTCCCCACCCAAGCAGGAGATCCTACACTATTTCTGACAAATGGCAGTCCAGTTTCCTCCTGAAAACTTCCAGTGATGAAGCTCCCACAATTTCCAAAGGCAACTTTTTTTTCATGGGTTGATAGCTCTCACCGTCAGAAAATTCCTCCTTATTTCCAGGTTGAATCTCTCCTTGATCAGTTTCCATACATTATTCCTTGTCTGGCCTTCAGGTTCCTTGGAAAATAGCTTGACCCCTTCCTCCTCTCTGGGGCAGCCCCTGAAATATTGGAAGACCACTCTCCTGTCTCCCCTGGTCCTTCTCTTTCCTAGACTAGCCAGGCCCAGTTCCTGCAACCGTTCATCGTATGTTTTAGCCTCCTGTGTATAGAGAAGGAATCAGTAGGAATTAGAAAGTAAGATTATTACGAGGTTGTTTTTTTCCTCCATTTTAATGAAAGCTTAAAGGATTGTCTCATGGGATCAGCCTACTTTTTGGCAGACAAGCAAAATACTCGTTAGGTTTATTTATTTATTTTCCCTTCAGTCATCTTTCTTTAATCATTATTTGGATAGTCTTGGATGGTTCATTTGCTGTCTGAGTGATTTCCTTCTTTTTGTGGTAAAAGACCTCCAAGCCAAGAAATAAAATAATGAAAAAATTATTATTCCTGTAGCTCTTTCCAAGCCAAGTGCTTAGGAAGTAGGAGAAAAAAATCGTGTTTCTTTCTCCCTTTGTTAGTTTTGGATAGGGTGGAATTGAGTAGCCTAATGTTGAATGAGCTTTATGGGGTCAGAATATATGCCATTTGGTAGGTTCTCCAAAATCCTCTTTCTTATTTGCCTTAATTTTCTCGCTCTCTCTCCTACCTTGCAGCCTTCCAACCCTATCCAGCTCTGCAACTCTTTGAGTTCAGATGAGGCAGACGGCGAAGACAATCAGGTAAATATCAGTCAGGTACATACAGGTATTCTTCCGCGTATGACATGAATTGAGCCTAGGATTTATGTTGCTAAAGTGAGTTTTGCTTTGTTTTATGATCTTTCTTGCTACAGTTAAGTTTTATTGATTAATTGACAGATTAGCCCTTGGGCCATAGCAAAGTGCAGAGTTCCAGAGACAAATTCTTACTGAAATTTGATAAAAGAGATTTAAAACGGAATTAAAATGGAATCCATCTCATTCTGGGCACCCTTTTTTTTTTTTTTAACTATTACCATCTGGCAGACGGTACAGAATATTAAAAACAAGCACAAATAGGCTGAAAAATAGCTTCTATCCCAGGGCAGCAGCTCTTTTGAATTCTACTGTATAGTGCAGTGTTGGTGCAGTGTTGCGGGTTTTCGGTTCAATGTATAGAATGTGAAGGACGTGTGTTTGTGTTTATTTTCACGGTCATGATGTACATTGAAGAAAGAAATGGAAGAAAGAGGCTAACGAAAAACATATATTAAAAGTTTAAAAGTATGGCATGTAGAACGTAGATGAGAGCTGAAGTACGTTGTCATGTCTTCTTTTGTAGGTCACTTTGGGGTCTCCTTCTAAGCATCGTGGCTCCTTTTCTCCGGTGAGTCCCCTCTCGCCCTTCGGCCATGGGATTCCGGTTGATTTCGACACCCCGGCTTCTCCCCAGGCCTGCCTGGACACCTCGGCGGCCAGGCACAGGATTGCAATGAACCCACGGAAGCAGAAGGGGTTCGCGAAGAAGACTCACCCTTCTCCTGTGAGTAGCTGTTTGGGACAAGCAGCGGTGGCATTCTACCGGTTTAGACTAATTCGGCCGAGCTGATAGCTCCGACGATCAGCTATGAGTGAATCAGTTTGCTCTGACAATCAGCTGCTGGCCCCTCCCACCTGCCTTTATTTCCTGGTTTTCAACCTCATTGCTTCGCGCAGCACAGCGGATTGCAGTGCCTTGGCTGTTTAAGACACAGGGGGAGCGCAGGATTGCAGGAGAAGGTTAGTAGCAAATTCTCTGTGCAACTGCAAAGCCCGCCCGCCAAGCCGCATCCACAGAACCAGTGGTAAAAAATTTGAAAAGCACCACTAAGGACAAGATCCTTCAGGGAAAAAGAAAGAGAGAGAGTTAGAGGTTTAATTAGTGATGGTCACGAGACCACTTTATGCCCCAAAATGGAAAGATGTTTTGATCCCCGCCACGGTTGAATGACTGCAAAAGTGGATGGAGTTAGTAAAGATGGTTAACTTGTCTGTTTTGATCAAAGAAGAAAAAAAACCCCACACAATTACTTTTGTTTCTCCTTGGAAATCGCAACTGGATTGGTCTTTGACTTATGAACATAATTGAGGTTGGAATTATGGTGGGTTAAGTTGTACCGGCCACTAAACAGGTCACCTCTGTCACATCAGGTGGAGCAGATATTGGAGGAGCAGCTACTTTTGGAGCCAGGGGAAGAGAAAAGGAGCCCCTTGAAAATCCTCGATGAAACTGCTGGTCAGAAGAAAAGTTGGGAAGGTAAGGCCAATGGTGTCAGGGCAGGAAACCAGGATCCAGGAGAGAGTTTGGTGAGAATTGGCCCCAGATAAGAGTCAATGGAGTTGCCAGGGGGAGGACAGGACTTAGGCCTCTTTTGGGGCCATAGAGACTCCAGGCTGATGATGCATTTGACCCCAACCTCATGTTCAGCTTGGTCATCTCCTATACCCAGCATGGGATACATATTTCTGGAGGCAACAGAGAGCTTTCTTGTATTGAGATTTGAAGGGTGGAAGATGATGATGATGATGATAATGATGATGTTGTTGTTGATGAAAATGGTAGTGATGGTGATGAGATGGTGACAACGAAGAAGAAGATGATAGTTGTGACAGTGATGATGATGAAGTTGATGATGATGATGATGATAGTG